TACCCAACTGTTTTCCTGTAATTAAAATGTGGCAGGTAGTTTACACACAAGAGGGAGTAATTGTATCGGAAATAACTGTTCATAACCAAACTTTAAAAGCATATTTTTTGTATAAACTTCTAATAAAGAAAGCAAGATAATAATATTTAGCACTTTTGCTACCTACAACAGCATTTTGTCTCTAAATTGTTAGCATTTTATTCAGCAATGTGAAAATACACCCCTCAAGCAATGAAGATGGCCTATCAATCATTTGTTCCTACTCAATTAAAATATTAAAAAATACAATCAAACCTTATACTAAAGGATCCCAAACTGTGTGGCTCTGGAAAGAGAATTTGAATGCGCTGTAGGAACCCCTGTGAGACAGGAAGAGAAGGTCCCCTTCTCTCTGCATCCCAAGGGAGATGGAGTGAGCCAGGTCATTGCCTGCCCATATCTTTGAGGCATTGCCTTCAAGGTACATGCTCAGGTGGCATAAGCATTGTGTGGGTTTGCTCAGACCTGAGTTTGGAGGAAGCTTTTGCTCTCAAACAGCCTCCTGAATACCAAAGCTGCAGAATAATTTCCTTACAAAGAAAGAGTCAAAGACTTTTCTATATTTTGCTTTGCAATATTCTTAGAAAGCAGTTCTCCAGGAGTTTCAAACCTTGCAAGCCAACTTAGGGGAAATTACTTATTCTTACATATAGTCTGGCAGTATTTGGCAATACAGAGGACTGCAGGCTGCTGTATGCAAGCAGCTTCTGTTCCAAAGAACATACAATTCAAACTGGGTGGACAAAAACACCGTGTCAGAGCAAAGAGACCTCAGTGGTTTGACCGGCAGATGAGTAAGTGGACTGCTGCCATTTAAATATAAAGCCCCAACAGATCCCAGATACTCAAGTGTATCGTAGGCAAGTACTCTACAGTGTGTGTTCACCTACAGAGTCACAGGCAATCCCACTGCTAATGACTTGCATCACTGGATGCTAATGCAGGTTGACCATAAAGAGTAAGACCATTACAAGCTCTGGTTCAATCCTTGTAATTAGATTGGCACCTACAAACCTTGAGGGGCTCAGCTGAGCTCTGTAAAATAGGTAGGATACAGCTCAAGCTGCCCCAGACCTGCAAGCTGAGAGGGTGAGTCACATACACAGCCCAAAGGCATTCATGTTTTTTCCCCACATCCATTATGTGTAAACCACATACTTGTATCATGCTTGTCCAAGAGCCAAATGAGCTGGAGTACCTTCACCTATACATCATCAGAAAGTTTAATGCTGGATAACAGTTTCTACCTCAATTAGGTTAGGGCACCTTCAGTGGGCATTTGGGTTTCAACCCAAATTGATGGCATCTGTCCAGATTCATTCTGTGGTTTGGCGTAAAAATCGAAGTAAAGTTTAGAGGTAGCAACCTCCGCAGAGCTTCCTGCAGCATAGCTCTAATGCAAATGAACTGGATAAATGGACCTGACTGTGTGAACCAGCTGTGGAACAGGCAGATGATATTTCGGGTACCCTCCAAGTCTGTTTTTCATACAGCTTATGCCGGGTAAAATCATTTAGAACAAACTGAAGATCAAATACCACACAGGGACTGAGTGATTGCAGCATGGCACAGACCGGCTGTGACCAACTGGCCCCACGCAAACACAGCACCTCTTTGACAGCCCCACATAAGAAGCAACAGCCACACTTAAACTTACGCCTTGAATGTTCAGATTAAAGCAAAACCAAGAATAAATTAGTTATGCCTTGCTCATTAAAAGGCACAGATTGGAAGCTTATGCTTTGATTTCACGGGAGTTTCCTCCCTGAGCATGTCACAGGGCATGCAGAGGGGAAAGGAAAGGGAGTGAAGAAAGGGAGCTCTGGCTTGACATGGAGTGATGGGTGCTGCCCAACACGCTGTACAAACTGCACAAGGTGATGTTTTTTCCCTCTAAAATGGACTCGCTTCCTCCCCTCCCTTCTCCACACCCCATTATCAGCATTTAAAACACCCCCGAGTTTTCCTGAGCAGGTTTGCTGTGCTCATTAAGATACACTGAGCACTTACTGGCTTTAATGAGCACTCATTAAATTCCAGTAAGTGCCAGGACCATCCTGTGGAGCTGAACAGACTCAGGTTCTGGGAGAGATCAGGGGTTGGGAAGATACTGGAAGCATTACATTTTCCACAACAACAAAACTATAAAACTTCCCCCTCCTTTCTTCTCTTTCTTTTTTTGCTCCACAAGCACTGGGGTAACTCAGACCTGCTAAGCAGCAGCTATTGCTTACTGACTGCTCAAATCAATCCCTTGCCCCAGAAGGCCTCTCAGCTCCTCTTATCAGAACAGGAACAAATTAAAGATTTTGCGTATTTGCATCTCCTCATTGGAGAATATTCGTACGTTTGTTATTTAGAGATAAAAGTCTGCTTCTAAAAATTCACTTAGCGCAGTGATTTTCTCAGCCGCAGGGAATGGTGCAGGAGGAATTGCAGAGCAGGATCCAGAGCAGCTGGTGAGGCTGCAGCAGAGCAGCACCATGGGCTCAACGCTCATCAGGATTGCATGCCAACCATTTCCAAGGAACTGTCTGCTCTGTTCTTAATAATCTGATCAGCCACATCATTTGGTCCCATCACAGCACAGCAGCGCCGTAACTGTAAGCAGTAGGAGTCTCAGATGTCTGCTGAGCTCCTACCACTCTTACAGTGGGGTCTTTACCAATTCCAGCTTGGAACAACCGAAACCTGGTTGTACTTTGCAGGTCCATCTTGGAGGAAGACATCTCCTTCTACCAAAATGCATCTCCACGTCTCTTCTCTGCAGTTCTTGCCCCAAAAACTGGGAGTTGTGCTTGGACAGGTAAATGCCTTGAATTCTTGTCACCAATATGCAAAAAAATCCATTTAGTAACAGATCTTTTTCCAGAGATGACCAGAATGAGAAATCTCTCTTTGAGACATTTCTCCCTGACTGAACACAATCTTTTGTGTTATGGCACATATCTCATAATAGCTCTACATTCACACAGTCATAGAAGGACTTAAGTTGGAGGGGATCTTTATGATTGGCTCTTCTAAGTCCCCTGCCATGGGCAAGGTTGCCAATCATGAGAGCAGGCTGCCTAGGTCCCCATCCAACCTGACCTTGAATTTTTATTTTACAGACTAATACAATTCAAGATCAAGGAGACAAGGTGCACACCTCCTATGTGCCCTGTTCTTATGTTTATTTCCCACTGGCTGTGTCAGAAATATACATCCTGACCAGCATGCCCACACGAACCTATATATATCACAAAGCAGTTCTCACTGCAGTGCTACAGTATGGGTTTTCATCCCCCAAAGCTGTTCAGCACCTATTGACATGAAAACATACAAATTAGCTAAAAACAGACACAAATACACTTTACGCTGGACTAATTCCCAATGAGTCACAGAGAGTAAGTGACTATTTAAGGAAACTGAATCAGACAACAACTTGAAGATCAGGGCAGCATTGAAAAAGCCAGCATACAGGCTAGGGAGGAGAGAGCTGCTGGAAGGGAGAGGTTTTAATCTAATGACCGTATATATCAAAATGCCATCAATTTCATAATAAATGAATATATAACTGGTCGGGGTAATAATTAACTGCTCCAGTTTGGCTCACTCTCTCATCCACTCACAGATTTTAGAGGATCACTGTTTTATAATTGCTTGCTCTCTAAGCATACGTGCATCACAATGATCAGCACACCTTGACAGCAAAGCAGTTAGAGAAACTAACTCAACATGTTCCCCTGCCACAGTACGTTGTCTGCTGGATACAGTAAGTCAGAGATTGTTTATTCAACTTCTCAAGGCCCATTAATGACATAATGCTAGACACAGCTGTTCAGGGCTTTGCAAGACCAAAGCAGAGAAAGAAATGCTGGAAAACTTCAAACACACTACTCGCATCAGAGCCTGGCTGGGAAAGTCCTTGAAACTGATTTGGGTGATTTTAACCTTACAGCTCTCTCATGAAGTAAATCCAGGATTAAAGCCTCAAACTTAATTTCTCCCAAAGATCCTAATGGACGTAAAATCGCTCCACCTGATCAGGGTGGCAATGACTGCTTTGAAAAAGGGGACATAAGTCGTTTCATTTTCACTCTGTTTGGCCAAATTATCTTCTGAAAAGCTAGGGCCTGCCTTACATGCTAGCACTTGAAAATAGGGTGTGCTTGGCTGATCGTGTCCTGACTTTCTGGTGTGTTGAGCAAGGGAAGAAAAGTTCAGTTGGTAATGAAAGGCACCCTGTGCTGTGCCAAAAAGTCTGAGCTGAGCTAAAGTGGGCGCTCCAGGCCCAGAAGGCACCACCTATCCCTATGCAATCTGTTTCCCATTGCACATCCATTGCACATTTTTCCATGCTCAACCCCAGCTCAAGGCAGGCAAGGATAAAATCCACCTGAATGCCACACCCAGAGAGCCACTCCAGGAATATTTTGCCATGCAGCTCCTTGAAACACATTTTTATGTAACTTTCCTTAAGAAAAAGGCAAATCAAGTTTCATAACTGCTCAGCCATGGAGAAAAAGCAAATAAAAATGTGTAAGAGGAAGGCTCAAACTCATTCCCATCCCCCAGTTAAAAATAACCTCTATTAATAATTTTAAAACACTTTATAACTGAATCTTTGGGAGGCTTTATAAAAAAAACATTTGTGTATATATTATGTAAATACAAATGTGTGTGTGTATGTACGTGTATGTGTATGTATATATATAGATAAGATCGGAGGAGGAATGTGATTCATGATGCTGAGCTGATTTCCCAGCCAGGCAGTCCTGCAGACAGCCCTAAGAGTCATTCTCCAGCAGAAAAAAAAAAAGAGGACTGTAGGATAAATTTGCTCCTCCCTGCTGCAGCAGCTACCCATGGCAATTACACCACCCCATTACTGAAACCATACCTGAATTCACGGGCAGAGAAGCCACCACCACCCCCCCATCCTTTTCCCCCCATCTTTTAGGGTAACCACTAGGACTTACAATTGTGAAGTTCATGACCTTCAGAATCCAGATGGTCATAGCAAGGTTCACCAGGATTAAGATCATTAGGAGCAGCACAAAGAAATAGAGGCATCTCTTCCTCCAGCCATAAATCCCGACTTTGTATACTTGGGGCCCTTCCGAGGTCTGCATGGTGCTCCTGTGCGCGTATTGCTCCTGAGGCATCTGAAACAATCACACAAAAATAAGAACGCGGATTAAGCAGCAAGACAAATCCGATGATGAAAACTGCTAAGGGTTTGTGTCTGTGCCTCTTTGAGGTTTGTGGAGTTTTTGTTCTTCCTTTTCCTTTCAGAGTTTACCAGCTGGGCAGCACCTCCTTCGGTACCTTAGTTCTGCGTTATTTTCCTTGCTGCTCACTGTATGCAGTAACACACCGTAAGAGAATTTTATGTATTAGATGTATATATACATTTATAAATACACATAAGCACACTGTCTAAAGGTATCCTATGGAGATCACTCTCAAGTGACTCTCCTCAACCACCCCGGGTTTTGCAAGGCTGGCACTCTAGGGCCTCGAAGGATCCGGAGGGGAAAATTCTGCATGCATTTGGTAAAAGCAGTTGAGTTCAGCAGTTTGTTTTGAAGATGCAGTATTACTTCGCAGAGGCTTTAATTCAACAAAAAATCACCTCAAATAAAATCACTCCTTCCAGACAAAGAAAAAAAAGGCAAAGGGAAAATGTCTTTTTCTCTCTTCCTTAACTGAATAAACCCGAAACACAAAGTTCTCCTAAAATAATGTCCCAAATATCTGCACGGATTTAACAAGGATGCCCTGGGAAAGCAGGCATGGCGTGGCAGGACAACACGAGAGCCAGGAGAGAGGAGAGAACGAAGGAAACTCGGCACTGAGGACAGCAGAAGGGCTGTGCAGCATGGCAGCATCCCCAGGACAAGTTTGGGTTTTGCATCTTGGTCCCCAGCTTGCTGCCGGCTGTCAGGGGTCTGGCTGCCCCACTGCTTTAAATGGCATTGCAGCCAGTGGGGATGGAGGGCAGCAAATGCACTCAGGGTTGTGCTTATGGAGGCAGATTTTGCCCCACAAAAGTATTAATTGCCTTCTTGCCCTTCACTTTGGCTTGTGGAAAGTCCTTTTCACATGCTTCCCCCAGGCGTCAGTTTCTTACATCGCCTCTAATAATGTGCTGCCTGCTGAGCGTTCAGCATTTAAGACTCTAGGCAGACAAAAAAACCACCAGACACATTTCTGTGCTACCGATTCAACATGAGGGACTTCTCCCTCAGAATACCTGGCATCAGTGTTAGCATTCAGTGAATTACAAAATTCACAAAAAGGAGAAAACAACGCAAGCTCCTCTCTGTGGGAGTGTGATCCATAAGGGCAGAACAAAACAATGGTAGAAACGAGATGCTCATTGACACTGACTTGTGCCTGTTTGTTTACCATTAGCCTCATGTTTTTTTCTTACTTCGAGGCAAATGTGCAAACAGCATCTAATAACAGCGTGCGGTGGGCGGCAGTGCAGAGCCCATTGCAATGGAAGTGTCAATGGAAGGTGATTTTCTCCCCAGCACAGATCTTCTACTAGCAGCATCACACTCGCCATGAAGTTAGCACTTTCTCTTTGTTGCCCCAACACTGAAGCCCACACAAACAGGGGCTGCCTAAAGATCCGGAACCATGTTTTTTTTTTCCCTTCTACACTTTGTAAACCTTTTAGCAACTTTGGGAGTGCTCAGATGTGTGTTTGCTAACACAGGTTGCTGTTATCACCCACAGTTAGGAGATCAGACACCTCTCCCTTCCTCCACCAGCTTTCATCATTGCTGAAGTGCAGCCTCAGGTGCTAAGCAAGTTAAATCAGGCTCTAAATTCTTCTCAGATGCCTGTCCTGATGTGCACACATAAAGTAAAGCTAACTAAGCAGCATGCTCAGAACAGCCATGCTCCTGCACAAAAATGGGATCCAAAAGTAATCCTCCTGCAGAGGGCAGAGGATCCCATCTCCCTCCTTCTCCTTCAGCAGTTGTGTCCATCCCACACACTCAAAACTCATAGCAATGGCTGAAAAACAGATTTTAAAAACAATAAACACAGTTCTCCTATCACTTTCCTCTCTGGTCTCAGAACCCTTGCAGTTTTAGGAACTTTTCCCCTTACATCCTTTGGGCAACATTCCACCAAGCACATCAAAGAGCTTGGATGTTGCATAACAGTGCTGTTGGTTTTTTTAAGGGTTCTCATCTGGTCTAAAAAACCAGACGAGATGTCCACAAACCATGCCTTACTCAGAACTCAGAGCATGTGAATATCTGCAACATTACTTAGAGAAAGGTGCCGTACTCTGGGGAGGAACCAACAACTGCATGGCAGATAGGCTCCTAGTGTGCCCACCTCAGTCAATTCAGCCAACTTGTACTAGAAAAGCATCGCAGAAGGAAGGTATGACATAGAATCATAGGAAAAAAGCCAAGATCATCCCATCCAACCCGAACCCACCCACACCATGCCCACTGACCATGTCCTTGGTACCACATCTCCACAGCTCTCAAACACCTCCAGGAACAGTGACCCACCACCTTCCTGGGCAGCCTGTGCCAATGCATCTTTCTGAGACGAAATTTGTCCTAATATCCAACCTGAACCTCTGCTGTCTGTATTAAAGAGCAGCTTTCTATGGTGTAACGGTCCTCACCATGAAGCACTTCTGCTGTTCAGACCTATGGGGTATCTGCCCACACAGCCAAGGCTCAGGCAGACCCTGAGCTATTAACAAAGGGAGCAAAGCAAGTTGCTCACAGCAGATCCAGTTTTTGGTCTTCATTGCTATTTTGCTCCCAGGTGCTAAGTCAGCAATTGTAAACTGGGGAGGGCTTTGCAGCACAGTGCTTGTGCCAGAAGAGAGGAGCCATGGTACAAACAGGAAGAGAAAACCAGGCCCCTACACTACTGCAATCACTCAGCTTCTGTGCGAGGGGAAATCTTAAAAAACAATAAATTACGATTTCCACTACCTAAGGGAAATTATAACAACAACTACTGTACAGTCACAGATTTTATTGCCTAATATTTTAACAGGGGATCCTGGAGAGCACATATTAAATGCAGCATCTCTCTTGGAGAAAACGAATAAATTGCATCTCCAGCACTCTCAAATCATGAAACAAGTCTGACCAATAAGAAATAGCCTGAAATACTGAGCACAAAATATCTTCTTATTGCAAAACTTGTTTATTCTCCCCTTTGCTCTCTCCTTTTTTTTTTTTTTTTTTTTTTTTTCTCCTGTTTTTCTTTCTTTTCTTTTTTTTCTTCCCCACAACTGCTAGAGTGGAGAAAATGCCAAATCCAACTGAGGCAAAACTTTGCAGACATCAAACGAATTTATAGGAACAGAACATAACCACAAAAAGCAACTTGGATCCACACAAGAGCCTCATTTTGAGAACTTCTCTTGTTCAAATAAAATATTTAGCTCACAGCTGCCTTAACAGTGATAGAGCAACCAAAGGACTGCAACGCGCATAGTGAACATGACCTAGTAATATGGCATAAATTTATAACAAGAAAACAACATGGGAATCATAGATGGAATGCTGTTTCCATATACTCTCACACATAAACTCTCCATAAACTCTCATACAGTTACACTTGAAGCAATATAGGATCTCTAGCAAGCCCTTCCCCTCACCCATGACCACCAAAAGAAAAGCTCATGTCTGTCGTTCTCTAGCAAGAGAAGAACAGATAATGGACATTGAGCGCTGAGGTGGGCTAAACAAATGTGTAGAAGAAGATGGGCTGTAAGGCACCTACATAAGGAACAAGCTGCATCCACTGCCAGTAATTTCTTCTGTGGGGGACAGAGAAGTATGCTAGTCATGATTTATATTTTGACACATTCTTGTTAAACATTGTAATGATATTGGCAGCAAATTAGGCACCAGAAAAGCAGTATTACTGTGAAAGGAAAACCAGTGGTTTCATCTGCAGAGCACCCCTTCCTTTTCAATCACCGAGCTGAGAAGAAAGGCTGCTAGCTGCTTAATGGGGTATTAGTTTTTGCAGGAAAACATTATAAATGGTCACTCAAACTCGTAATAGCCAACAACCAATGCTGAAACTAATATAGTAGAAATTGGAAGGAGAGGCACTCCTTCCAAAAGTCAGAGCTGTATGCGTCTGCCTGCCATGGGAAGGCACACATGCACCGTACTGGTGTGCCATACTGCACATACAGCATGAGAAATGCTGCCTGCCAGATCGTCACAGTTTAGCCACAGACAGCATTACCATGACTACAAAAGCAAAGCCCAGCACCCAGGTAATTTACCAAGGAATAAGTTTTTGTAGAATTCCTGTGGCATGGCTGGTGATGGGGTGATTAATGACTAGTGATGGGCTTTCCCAACCTTAATGGCTCTATGATAGTGTGCGCAGAAAGCCTCTCACTCATACACACAACATGCATTTCCCACTCATCAGGCAAAGTGTTTAATATGCACAAGGATAAATAAACCATCTTTCCCTTGCAAACACCACAGCTGTAAGTGTTTCTTGGCCCCATCAGCTTTGGAGGCTCAATGAGGGCTATAAATGAGGTGAGGCACAATGAGAGGAATCAATGATGTTTCTGAGCCACGGAGGTTTTCTGACCAGTGCTTAAATCATCTTTGTTTAGTAATTGGACAATTTTAAGCTGAAAGAGGACGCAGTTGAGGAAGATGGCTTCTCCTTCATGAAATTTACTGCTGAAAATGTTCTAAAGTGGGGTCTGTGCAGTGGGACACACAACAGGTTTGGGGAAGGTGGCACCTACTTGCACGTATTTTTTGCATTTGAATTTTTTGCACATTGATTTCTATAAATTTTATGTGGAAATCATGAGCCTTTACTTAATGGAGGCCAGGGGGCAGCTTGTCAAAATCATCAATTTTACAGAAGGTGAACATAGGGCAGCCAGAGTCTGGCATTGTAAATGCATGGGTGTGTTTGCAGAGAGCTTGCTGCCTGCCTGCATATAACTGAGGTGTAACAGCTTCATCAGCAAAACAAGAGCATCCGACCCCAGGCTAAGTATGGTGATGGGATTACATTTCAAGAGATGAGAAGGATGGGTTCAGGCTCCCTTGGGCATGGACCTACATCTCCCACATCTCCATTCAATTTGTATCCATATAACCAGTATCCTCTACTGTTT